TGACTAGACCTATAAAATCTCTAAATTTTTGTAAGTATTCCTAACTGAAGCTTAAATTTCAATTTAAAATTTATTTTAAATTAAAAAAAAATTCTTTACTTTTCCAGTAGGTTAAATGCCAAGGACGTCAGGGATTTATCCTTTTTAAATTTCTGTTATTTTTTTTATTTATAAACATCTTTTGTTTTTACAATTTGAGTGCCTTGAGGTCCTCATTTTCTACAATTGCGCATCAAGATATAAAACGCATTAATTCATATACACTGGGAGCTTGAGTATACTTAAGAGGTTGAGTAATTTAAACATCAATTTCTGTGAATTGACTCTGGCTTTCAATTCTGGCGAATTGAAAATAAGAGCCTTTAGATGTAGAGTAATACAAATCGTATTTAGATACTATATACATAGAATGCATGAGTAGGAGATATGTTTGTGAAGCAGTGGATTCGACGAAAATCTAAAAACGTTGCAATAATCGGAAAGCCAAATCGAATTTATTGCCTATCAATGTGAAAAACAAGTTTAATAAGTAAAGTTATGCTATGTCGTTTATTATTAAAGGTGTTTAAGTAATCAGAGAGAAATGAGATATACGAAACAAGTTTACTTGAATATGAAATAATTATTGAAGAAAGCCCTGCCATAATTAGGGATAGTTTTCTTTTCTTTTCTTTTTTCTAGCTTTAACCCAGATTATTTCTTTCCATGCCTCCAAGCTAAATTCATTTCGAAATAGTTTTTCTCTGAAAGCTTAGTTGCGATTCTCTTTCTATTTATAAGTTTTGACGTCTAATGCCAGTTTTATATGTAAATAAAAAAGCCTGATACATATCCTTAGAGTTCAGCTAGCACTCACCTGCCTCTCTCTCTCTCTTCCTCTTTCATGCAGTGCCTTCTCAGGCTTAGCAATGCTCTCTGCCATACCTTGAGCTGTTATCGTGCCTAGCTCCGGCTTCTAAGGATTCTCTTGCACACACAAACTAAATACGTGTGTGTGAGTGCGTGTGTCGTAACAAAGGACATCCCCAACCATGTTTCACTTGGTATTTGTGGGTCGGATTAGAGCCAAAACTAATTGTATGATTTGTATGATGAATGGTTTTCGGGTTTCGCCAGTTTGTTTGCTTGCAAATAACATTTGCTTTTGCTTTTGCTTTTCCCCTTGCCAACAATTGCATTGGCTCCACCAAGCCCCGCACCTGCCCCAGCACCTGGCCGTAATTTCCATTTAGCGTATCCCAGTCAGTAAGCTAATAAGGCCTGAGCCGGGCCGAGCCACGTCGCATGGCCTTGGGGCGGCATCTGGAGCCCAGTCGGAGCTTTATAAATAAGCCCAGCGACGCGATCCCTCGACTCGGGCATTAGCACCTTGCGCTAAGCTCTTTGTGGATTTGTTTGTCTGTGCGCTCGACGCACAGAAGTCCAGCTTATTGCCGGCTAATTGCGGCTGGAGCTGATGCACTCGACCCGGACCGAGGCCACGGCTCTGTCGCTGCCAGCAGCCCGAAAATACAAATAAAATTGTGATTAATCCAGTTCGTTTGGTTGCCATTGGATAAGCCCGTCGAAAAATGCCCAATAAAGTGCGCTGGGGGTTGATGATGCTCGTCCTCTGATCCTGTGCCCAGTCAGCCGTTGATCGAACCCTTTCGCCTTTCACCTTTCGTCTTCCACCTTTCCCTTACTCAGGGATTTTTACAACCTGTCAGACATGCACACATGATTTGAAATTAATCGAAAATGTTTCGTGCATGTTTTAAAGGATACGCTCGTTGCTGAACTCAAATCACTCCAGGCTGTATGCACAAGGACCACAAACTTTAATCGATAGTCAAATAAGCGTCGTGCAGCACCAGAGTCAAGTCTGGCCTCAGCTCGTCTGAGTGTGTGTGTGTGTCGCCTGCAAGGATAACAAAGAGCTGCCTTGCACATTGCACTCTCTCCCTTTCTCTCACTCTTTCATACACACTCTCCTATTGTTTGCTGTAATTTCTCTAACGTTTGTTTATATTTTATATTGAATTCGCCTCGGGCCGCATAAACGCAATAATCGCACATTTTATGGATTAAACTCACCTGCTCGCCTGCTAATCTATTAAAAATTTACCGCCAGGACCAAAAATTGTCTGCTTTGTGCGTTCAGCTATAATTGAAGTTTTTCATTTTCGATATTCTTTTCACTCTATCTATATTTTTCTTTTAACGGAGCGGTCGAGTCTCATTGAAGTATTCTGTTTTGCTATAGAAAATTAAAAGCTCAAATCAGTTTTG